TGAATTGATATCGTCCAAATACATTTGTTGTGAAGTGTCGTCGGAAAATAGCACTGAATGTGTCTTGCATTAAGACATAGATGGGAATAGTTCTGTTGCTCAGCAGTGAAAGCGCTGGTCTTGTGAACTGAGGGTCGTGCCTTCAGTTCTAGCTGGAGATTATAAGTCGGTTGACATCCTGCATTGGTAACATTTTGAAATGTTGTGCTACTTTGTGTGTTAAGTGTGTTGTCCTTCCCCCGCACCTATGATGAGCGCGGTCGGCTACATATGATACGAAAGATGTTCTACATTCGTACTTTTTAAATCTGAGCACGAGTGTGAGCACCTGCTACTTATTCATGGCAGCAGGGGACACGCCAGCAACGTTGTTCGGTATAAGTGTGGCGTTTTATAATGCACACAATTTAGTTTTCTTGTTTGATTTTAATTTTATTTTCCAATGTGCGCATGTGTTAAAGCATTTTTTCATAGTTCATCCGTTCTTCAGAGGGCCACGTTTTTGCGTATTTGGTGTAGCTAATTTTATTGGGATATTAGTTCGACATTCCCTTAGAAGTTGATACAACTAAGCACTCAGATGGCTCCATAGCTCAGGGGGTAGAGCACTGGTTTTGTAAACCAGGGGTCGTGAGTTCAATTCTCACTAGCTCCTTCTTTTTGCTTATTCTTCAAAGAGACTGAGTGAAACATTAAAACCCTTGCTTTTCAAAATTGGCCGATGCTGTGGGAGAGCACCGATTCACTATTAAGGAAACCGGGATGCAATTTGGACCTCGTATTTCACAGTAATGTGGCAGTTTTTTCCGGATTATTCCCACCCGAAAGTTATTATTTAGAAGTGTCATATGTGTACGTATTTGAATTCAAACTTCCCAAGTCATGAGTCGCTAACATGGTCAAGTTAACATGAAGCTGTGTTACGCAATTTGTCGTTTTTGGCCACATCGCAATTAACTTCTCACCTGAGGCATTGGTAGCATCTTGCGTTAACAGGTTTTGTGAGCTTTTTATTCTGCATTTGAAGGTGTCGAACAGGAGTGGCTCCATAGCTCAGTGGTTAGAGCACTGGTCTTGTAAACCAGGGGTCGCGAGTTCAATTCTCGCTGGGGCCTCTGGAGTTTTGCATCCTGCTTCGGCAATATTGACAAATCTAGACGCTCTTTTTTAAGTTTTCAGCAATGCCAATATCAAACAGCAGGGGGCACGGTAGCACTGACTTGGTACAGTTGTGGCATTGTTTTGGGCAACAACTAACTTAGGAGTTTACTTGTTTGAATACATTTTTACTTTTAAAGTGCGTGTGCGATAAAATAGTCGTCCTATCGGTCACCAGTTTCTCAGAGAGCCAGGTTTTTGGTATTGTGATATGTTTCCTCAATTGTGTTCTCACCTCAAGAGGTTGGCGTAAAACTGCCACCAACAGGCTCCATAGCTCAGGGGTTAGAGCACTGGTTTCGTAAACCAGGGGTCGTGAGTTCAATTCTCACTGGGGCCTCTTTTATTTTACACCTTCTTGAGACTGTGATTGAAAATAGAAGTTCTTGGTTTTACAAGTTGGCCCATGTTCGAGCGCACCAAGTCATTGTTCATTTCACCTGGGACCAAGGTGGCCCTAGCATCTTGTATTAATGTTGAAATGTTTCTGAATTGATATCGTCCAAATACATTTGTTGTGAAGTGTCGTCGGAAAATAGCACTGAATGTGGCTTGCAGTAAGACATGGATGGGAGTAGCTCTGTTGCTCAGCAGTGAAAGCGCTGGTTTTGTAAACTGAGGGTCGTGCCTTCAGTTCTAGATGGAGGTTATAAGTCGGTTGACATACTGCATTTGTAACATTTTGAAATATTGTACTACTTTTTGTGTTAAGTTTGTTGTCCTTCACCCGCATCTACGATGAGCGCGGTCGGCTACATACGGTCCGAAAGAAGTTCTACATTCGTACTTTTAAAATCTGAGCACGAGTGTGAGGATCTGCTACTTATTCATGGCAGCAGGGGGCACGCCAGCAACGTTGTTCGGTTTAAGTGTGGCGTTTTATAATGCACACAACCTAGTTTTATTTTTATTTATTTTCCAATGTGCGCATGTGTTAAAGCATTTTTTCATAGTTTATCCGTTCTTCAGAGGGCCACGTTTTTGCATATTTGGTGTAGCTAATTTTGTTGGGATATTAGTTCGACATTCCCTTAGAAGTTGATACAACTCCCCACTCAGATGGCTCTATAGCTCAGGGGGTAGAGCACAGGTTTTGTAAACCAGGGGTCGTGAGTTCAATTCTTACCAGCTTCTTCTTTTTGCTTATTCTTCAAAGAGACTGAGTGAATCATAAATCCCTTGGTTTTCAAAATTGGCCGATGCTGTGGGAGAGCACCGATTCACTATTAAGGAAACCGGGATGTAATTTGGACCTCGTATTTCACAGTAATGTGGCAATTTTTTTCTGGATTATTCCCACCCGAAAGTTATTATTTAGAAGTGTCATATGTGTACGTATTTAAATTCAAACTTCCCAAGTCATGAGTTGCTAACATGGTCAAGTTTACATGAAGCTGTGTTACGCAATTTGTCGTTTTTGGCCACATCGCAATTAACTTCTCACCTGAGGCATTGGTAGCATCTTGCGTTAACAGGTTTTGTGAGCTTTTTAATTCTGCATTTGAAGGTGTCGAACAGGGTGGCTCCATAGCTCAGTGTTTAGAGCACTGGTCTTGTAAACCAGGGGTCGCGAGTTCAATCTCTCGCTGGGGGCTGTGTAGTTTTGCATCCTGCTTCGGCAATATTGACAAATCTAGAGACTGTTCTTTTAAGTTTTCAGCAATGCTAATAACAAACAGCAGGGGGCACGGTAGCACTGACTGGGTGCAGGTGTGGCATTGTTTTGGGCAACAACTCACTTAGGAGTTTACTTGTTTGAATACATTTTTACTTTTAAAGTGCGTGTGCAATAAAATTATTCGTTTTTATCGGTCACCAGTTTCTCAGAGAGCCCGGTTTTTGGTATTGTGATATGTTTCCTCAATTGTGTTCTCACCTCAAGAGGTTGGCATAAAACTGTCACCAAAAGGCTCCATAGCTCAGGGGTTAGAGCACTGGTTTCGTAAACCAGGGGTCGTGAGTTCAATTCTCACTGGGGCCTTGTTTTTGCTTATACTTCAAAGAGACTGAGTGAATCATAAAACCCTTGGTTTTCAAAATTGGCCTATGATGTGGGAGATCACCGAGTCACTATTAAGGAAACAGGGATGCAATTTGGACCTAGTATTTCACAGTAATGTGGCAGTTTTTTCCGGATTATTCCCACCCGAAAGGTATTATTTAGAAGTGTCATATGTGTACGTATTTAAATTCAAACTTCCCAAGTCATGAGCTGCTAACATGGTCAAGTTTACATGCAGCTGTGTTACGCAATTTGTCGTTTTTGTCCACTTCGCAATTAACTTCTCAGTTGAGGCATTGGTGCCCTCTTTCATTAACAGGTTTTGTGAGCTTTTGAATTTGCAGATGCAGTAATGGAGTGGCTCCATAGCTCATTGGAAAGACCACTGGTCTTGTAAACCAGGAGTCGCGAGTTCAATTTTCGCTGGGGGCTGTGTAGTTTTGCATCCTGCTTCGGCAATATTGACAAATCTAGACGCTGTTCTTTTAAGTTTTCAGCAATGCTAATAACAAACAGCAGGGGGCACGGTAGCACTGACTTGGTGCAGGTGTGGCATTCTTTTGTGCAACAACTAACTTAGGAGTTTACTTGTTTGAATACATTTTTACTTTTAAAGTGCGTGTGCGATAAAATAGTCGTTTTATCGGTCACCAGTTTCTCAGAGAGCCAGGTTTTTGGTATTGTGATATGGTTCCTCAATTGTGTTCTCACCTCAAGAGGTTGCATAAAACTGTCACCAACAGGCTCCATAGCTCAGGGGTTAGAGCACTGGTTTCGTAAACCAGGGGTCGTGAGTTCAATTCTCACTGGGGCCTCTTTTATTTTACACCTTCTTGAGACTGTGATTGAAATTGTAAGTTCTTTGTTTTACAAGTTGGCCCATGTTCGAGCGCACCAAGTCATTGTTCATTTCACCTGGGACCAAGGTGGCCGTAGCATCTTGTATTAATGTTGAAAAGTTTCTGAATTGATATCGTCCAAATACATTTGTTGTGAAGGGTCGTCGGAAAATCGCACTGAATGGGTCTTGCATTCAGGCATAGATGGGAATAGTTCTGTTGCTCAGCAGTGAAAGCGCTGGTCTTGTGAACTGAGGGTCGTGCCTTCAGTTCTAGCTGGAGATTATAAGTCGGTTGACATCATGCATTGGTAACATTTTGAAATGTTGTACTACTTTTTGTGTTAAGTTTGTTGTCGTCCTGCACCTACGATGAGCGCGGTCAGCTACATATGGTACGAAAGAAGTTCTACATTCGTACTTTTACAATCTTAGCACGAGTGTGAGCACCTGCTACTTACTCTTTGGTTCTATTCGGTAAAGTCACGTAGGTGAAAATAAAGTAACAAAAAATCACGACGTTTCGGCCACAACATAAGCGGCCTTCATCAGGTGAAGGGACGAGACTGTCTGGAGGACAGCGCTGGAGTGAGAGAAGCCACGCTTAGATCACGACCTTTAAGCTGTGTGAGAGTTTGGTTACAGCACCGGTCTTGTAAACCAGGGGTCGCGAGTTCAATTCTCGCTGGGGCCTCTGTAGTTTTGCATCCTGCTTCGGCAATATTGACATATCAAAAGGCTGTTCTTTTAAGTTTTCAGCAATGCTAATAACATACAGCAGGGGGCACGGTAGAACTGACTTGGTGCAGGTGTAGCATTCTTTTGTGCAACTAACTTAGGAGTTTACTTGTTTGAATACATTTTTACTTTTAAAGTGCGTGTGCGATAAAATAGTCGTTTTATCGGTCACCAGTTTCTCAGAGAGCCAGGTTTTTGGTATTGTGATATGTTTCCTCAATTGTGTTCTCACCTCAAGAGGTTTGCATAAAACTGCCACCAACAGGCTCCATAGCTTAGGGGTTAGAGCACTGGTTTCGTAAACCAGGGGTCGTGAATTCAAGTCTCACTCGGGCCTCTTTTATTTTACACCTTCTTGAGACTGTGATTGAAAATAGAAGTTCTTGGTTTTACTGGGTAGGAACGAAGTTGTAAACTGAGTGTACCAGCCTGCAATAGATTAATGTGTCCGTCCGTCCCCTTTCAATACTTTAACGAAGTGAAATCTCGTGCTGTTGGGTGTAAAATCAGCAATAGACAGCGCAGAGACTTGTCCTACCAGCCCACCCTGCAGGGACCAGTTAAAAGTTGACCCATGTGAGAGCGCACCAAGTCATTGTTAATTTCACCCAGGACCAAGGTGGCCCTAGCATATTGTATTAATGTTGAAATGTTTCTGAATTGATATCGTCCAAATACATTTGTTGTGAAGTGTCGTCGGAAAATAGCACTGAATGGGTCTTGCATTAAGACATAGATGGGAATAGTTCTGTTGCTCAGCAGTGAAAGCGCTGGTCTTGTGAACTGAGGGTCGTGCCTTCAGTTCTAGCTGGAGATTATAAGTCGGTTGACATCCTGCATTGGTAACATTTTGAAATGTTGTGCTACTTTGTGTGTTAAGTTTGTTGTCCTTCCCCCGCACCTATGATGAGCGCGGTCGGCTACATATGGTACGAAAGATGTTCTACATTCGTCCTTTTAAAATCTGAGCACCAGTGTGAGCACCTGCTACTTATTCATGGCAGCAGGGGGCACGCCAGCAACGTTGTTCGGTATAAGTGTGGCGTTTTATAATGCACACAATTTAGTTTTCTTGTTTGATTTTAATTTTATTTTCCAATGTGCGCATGTGTTAAAGCATTTTTTCATAGTTCATCCGTTCTTCAGAGGGCCACGTTTTTGCGTATTTGGTGTAGCTAATTTTATTGGGATATTAGTTCGACATTCCCTTAGAAGTTGATACAACGTACCCCTCAGATGGCTCCATAGCTGAGGGATTAGAGCACTGGTTTAGTAAATCAGGGGTCGTGAGTTCAATTATTTATACCTTCTTTTTGCTTATTCTTCAAAGAGACTGAGTGAAACATTAAAACCCTTGGTTTTCAAAATTGGCCGATGCTGTGGGAGATCACCGAGTCACTATTAAGCAAACCGGCATGCAATTTGGACCTCGTATTTCACAGTAATGTGGCAGTTTTTTATGGGTTATTCCCACCCGAAAGTTATTATTTAGAAGTGTCATATGTGTACGTATTTGAATTCAAACTTCCCAAGTCATGAGTCGCTAACATGGTCAAGTTAACATGAAGCTGTGTTACGCAATTTGTCGTTTTTGGCCACATCGCAATTAACTTCTCACCTGAGGCATTGGTAGCATCTTGCGTTAACGGGTTTTGTGAGCTTTTTATTCTGCATTTGGAGGTGGCGAAAAGGTGTGGCTCCATAGCTCAGTGGTTAGAGCACTGGTCTTGTAAACCAGGGGTCGCGAGTTCAATTCTCGCTGGGGCCTCTGGAGTTTTGCATCCTACTTCGGCAATATTGACAAATCTAGAGGCTGTTTTTTTTAAGTTTTCAGCAATGCTAATATCAAACAGCAGGGGGCACGGTAGCACTGACTTGGTACAGTTGTGGCATTGTTTTGGGCAACAACTAACTTAGGAGTTTACTTGTTTGAATACATTTTTACTTTTAAAGTGCGTGTGCGATAAAATAGTCGTTTTGTCGGTCACCAGTTTCTCAGAGAGCCCGGTTTTTGGTATTGTAATATGTTTCCTCAATTTTGTTCTCACCTCAAGAGGTTTGCATTAAACTGTCACAAACAGGCTCCATAGCTCAGGGGTTAGAGCACTGGTTTCGTAAACCAGGGGTCGTGAGTTCAATTCTCACTGGGGCCTCTTTTATTCTACACCTTATTGAGACTGTGATTGAAAATAGAAGTTCTTGGTTTTACAGAGTAGGAACGAAGTTGTAAACTGAGTGTACCAGCCTGCAATAGATTAATGTGTCCGTCCGTCCCCTTTCAATACTTTAACGAAGTGAAATCTCGTGCTGTTGGGTGTAAAATCAGCAATAGACAGCGCAGAGACTTGTCCTACCAGCCCACCCTGCAGGGACCAGTTAAAAGTTGACCCATGTGGGAGCGCACCAAGTCATTGTTAATTTCACCCAGGACCAAGGTGGCCCTAGCATATTGTATTAATGTTGAAATGTTTCTGAATTGATATCGTCCAAATACATTTGTTGTGAAGTGTCGTCGGAAAATAGCACTGAATGTGTCTTGCATTAAGACATAGATGGGAATAGTTCTGTTGCTCAGCAGTGAAAGCGCTGGTCTTGTGAACTGAGGGTCGTGCCTTCAGTTCTAGCTGGAGATTATAAGTCGGTTGACATCCTGCATTGGTAACATTTTGAAATGTTGTGCTACTTTGTGTGTTAAGTGTGTTGTCCTTCCCCCGCACCTATGATGAGCGCGGTCGGCTACATATGATACGAAAGATGTTCTACATTCGTACTTTTTAAATCTGAGCACGAGTGTGAGCACCTGCTACTTATTCATGGCAGCAGGGGACACGCCAGCAACGTTGTTCGGTATAAGTGTGGCGTTTTATAATGCACACAATTTAGTTTTCTTGTTTGATTTTAATTTTATTTTCCAATGTGCGCATGTGTTAAAGCATTTTTTCATAGTTCATCCGTTCTTCAGAGGGCCACGTTTTTGCGTATTTGGTGTAGCTAATTTTATTGGGATATTAGTTCGACATTCCCTTAGAAGTTGATACAACAAAGCACTCAGATGGCTCCATAGCTCAGGGGGTAGAGCACTGGTTTTGTAAACCAGGGGTCGTGAGTTCAATTCTCACTAGCTCCTTCTTTTTGCTTATTCTTCAAAGAGACTGAGTGAAACATTAAAACCCTTGCTTTTCAAAATTGGCCGATGCTGTGGGAGAGCACCGATTCACTATTAAGGAAACCGGGATGCAATTTGGACCTCGTATTTCACAGTAATGTGGCAGTTTTTTCCGGATTATTCCCACCCTAAAGTTATTATTTAGAAGTGTCATATGTGTACGTATTTGAATTCAAACTTCCCAAGTCATGAGTCGCTAACATGGTCAAGTTAACATGAAGCTGTGTTACGCAATTTGTCGTTTTTGGCCACATCGCAATTAACTTCTCACCTGAGGCATTGGTAGCATCTTGCGTTAACAGGTTTTGTGAGCTTTTTATTCTGCATTTGAAGGTGTCGAAAAGGAGTGGCTCCATAGCTCAGTGGTTAGAGCACTGGTCTTGTAAACCAGGGGTCGCGAGTTCAATTCTCGCTGGGGCCTCTGGAGTTTTGCATCCTGCTTCGGCAATATTGACAAATCTAGACGCTCTTTTTTTAAGTTTTCAGCAATGCCAATATCAAACAGCAGGGGGCACGGTAGCACTGACTTGGTACAGTTGTGGCATTGTTTTGGGCAACAACTAACTTAGGAGTTTACTTGTTTGAATACATTTTTACTTTTAAAGTGCGTGTGCGATAAAATAGTCGTCCTATCGGTCACCAGTCTCTCAGAGAGCCCGGTTTTTGGTATTGTGATATGTTTCCTCAATTGTGTTCTCACCTCAAGAGGTTTGCATAAAACTGTAACCAACAGGCTCCATAGCTCAGGGGTTAGAGCACTGGTTTCGTAAACCAGGGGTCGTGAGTTCAATTCTCACTGGGGCCTCTTTTATTTTACACCTTCTTGAGACTGTGATTGAAAATAGAAGTTCTTGGTTTTACTGGTAGGAACGAAGTTGTAAACTGAGTGTACCAGCCTGCAATAGATTAATGCGTCCGTCCGTCCCCTTTCAACACATTAACGAAGTGAAATCTCGTGCTGTTGGGTGTAAAATCAGCAATAGACAGCGCAGAGACTTGACCCATGTGAGAGCGCACCAAGTCATTGTTAATTTCACCCAGGACCAAGGTGGCCCTAGCATATTGTATTAATGTTGAAATGTTTCTGAATTGATATCGTCCAAATACATTTGTTGTGAAGTGTCGTCGGAAAATAGCACTGAATGGGTCTTGCATTAAGACATAGATGGGAATAGTTCTGTTGCTCAGCAGTGAAAGCGCTGGTCTTGTGAACTGAGGGTCGTGCCTTCAGTTCTAGCTGGAGATTATAAGTCGGTTGACATCCTGCATTGGTAACATTTTGAAATGTTGTGCTACTTTGTGTGTTAAGTTTGTTGTCCTTCCCCCGCACCTATGATGAGCGCGGTCGGCTACATATGGTACGAAAGATGTTCTACATTCGTACTTTTAAAATCTGAGCACGAGTGTGAGCACCTGCTACTTATTCATGGCAGCAGGGGGCACGCCAGTAACTTTGTTCGGTATAAATGTGGCGTTTTATAATGCACACAATTTAGTTTTCTTGTTTGATTTTAATTTTATTTTCCAATGTGCGCATGTGTTAAAACATTTTTTCATAGTTCATCCGTTCTTCAGAGGGCCACGTTTTTGCGTATTTGGTGTAGCTAATTTTATTGGGATATTAGTTCGACATTCCCTTAGAAGTTGATACAACTAAGCACTCCGATGGCTCCATAGCTCAGGGGGTAGAGCACTGGTTTTGTAAACCAGGGGTCGTGAGTTCAATTCTCACTAGCTCCTTCTTTTTGCTTATTCTTCAAAGAGACTGAGTGAAACATTAAAACCCTTGCTTTTCAAAATTGGCCGATGCTGTGGGAGAGCACCGATTCACTATTAAGGAAACCGGGATGCAATTTGGACCTCGTATTTCACAGTAATGTGGCAGTTTTTTCCGGATTATTCCCACCCGAAAGTTATTATTTAGAAGTGTCATATGTGTACGTATTTGAATTCAAACTTCCCAAGTCATGAGTCGCTAACATGGTCAAGTTAACATGAAGCTGTGTTACGCAATTTGTCGTTTTTGGCCACATCGCAATTAACTTCTCACCTGAGGCATTGGTAGCATCTTGCGTTAACAGGTTTTGTGAGCTTTTTATTCTGCATTTGAAGGTGTCGAAAAGGAGTGGCTCCATAGCTCAGTGGTTAGAGCACTGGTCTTGTAAACCAGGGGTCGCGAGTTCAATTCTCGCTGGGGCCTCTGGAGTTTTGCATCCTGCTTCGGCAATATTGACAAATCTAGAGGCTGTTGTTTTAAAAGTTTTCAGCAATGCTAATATCAAACAGCAGGGGGCACGGTAGCACTGACTTGGTACAGTTGTGGCATTGTTTTGGGCAACAACTAACTTAGGAGTTTACTTGTTTGAATACATTTTACTTTTAAAGTGCGTGTGCGATAAAATAGTCCTTTTATCGGTCACCAGTTTCTCAGAGTGCCCGTTTTTTGGTATTGTGATATGTTTCCTCAATTGTGTTCTCACCTCAAGAGGTTTGCATAAAACTGTCACAACAGGCTCCATAGCTCAGGGGTTAGAGCACTGGTTTCGTTAAACCAGGGGTCGTGAGTTCAATTCTCACTGGGGCCTCTTTTATTTTACACCTTCTTGAGACTGTGATTGAAAATAGAAGTTCTTGGTTTTACTGGTAGGAACGAAGTTGTAAACTGAGTGTACCAGCCTGCAATAGATTAATGTGTCCGTCCGTCCGTCCCCTTTCAATACTTTAATGAAGTGTAATACTGGTAGGAACGAAGTTGTAAACTGAGTGTACCAGCCTGCAATAGATTAATGTGTCCGTCCGTCCGTCCCCTTTCAATACTTTAACGAAGTGAAATCTCGTGCTGTTGGGTGTAAAATCAGCAATAGACAGCGCAGAGACTTGTCCTACCAGCCCACCCTGCAGGGACCTGTTAAAAGTTGGCCCATGTTCGAGCTCACCAAGTCATTGTTCATTTCACCTGGGACCAAGGTGGCCCTAGCATATTGTATTAATGTTGAAATGTTTCTGAATTGATATCGTCCAAATACATTTGTTGTGAAGTGTCGTCGGAAAATAGCACTGAATGTGTCTTGCATTAAGACATAGATGGGAATAGTTCTGTTGCTCAGCAGTGAAAGCGCTGGTCTTGTGAACTGAGGGTCGTTCCTTCAGTTCTAGCTGGAGATTCTAAGTCGGTTGACATCCTGCATTGGTAACATTTTGAAATGTTGTACTACTTTTTGTGTTAAGTTTGTTGTCCTTCCCCGGCACCTACGATGAGCGCGGTCGGCTACATATGGTTGGAAAGAAGTTCTACATTCGTTCTTTTAAAATCTGAGCACGAGTGTGAGCACCTGCTACTTATTCATGGCAGCAGGGGGCACGCCAGCAACGTTGTTCTCTGTATAAGTGTGGCGTTTTATAATGCACACAATTTAGTTTTCTTGTTTTATTTCTATTGATTTTCCAATGTGCGCATGCGTTAAAGCATTTTTTCATAGTTCATCCGTTCTTCAGGGGGCCACGTTTTTGCGTATTTGGTGTAGCTTATTTTTTGCGGATATTAGTTCCACGTTCCCTTAGAAGTTGATACAACTCCCCACTCAGATGGCTCCATAGCTTAGGGGTTAGAGCACTGGTTTTGTACACCAGCGGTCGTGAGTTTCATAAAACCAAGGTTTTATGAATCATAAAACCTTGGTTATCAAAATTGGCCGATGCTGTGGGAGAGCACCGAGTTACTATTAAGGAAACCGGGATGTAATTTGGACCTCGTATTCCACAGTAATGTGGCAGTTTTTTCTGGATTATTCCCACCCAAAAGTTATTATTTAGAAGTGTCATATGTGTACGTAATTAAATTCAAACTTCCCAAGTCATGAGTTGCTAACATGGTCAAGTTAACATGAAGCTGTGTTACGCAATTTGTCGTTTTTGGCCACATCGCAATTAACTTCTCAGTTGAGGCATTGGTGCCCTCTTGCATCAACAGGTTTTGTGAGCTTTTTTATTCTGAATTTGCAAATGTCGATCAGGAGTGGCTCCGTAGCTCACTGGTTAGAGCGTTGGTCTTGTTAAACATGTGTGTCTTTTGGAATAAGGGACTGTTCTGTAAATCTACAAATTGCTCTCGTGAATTTGTTTTATGTTTGTTAAACTCTGGTGTTCGTTTTTGTTTCCCTGAATCTTTTCTACGATTTCACTTGTAATATGGCTTGTTTTTGGTGCCTTGTTTACAGGTTTCATTGTTGATTTTTAATTGGCAGATATTCAAACTACTGGCTGCATAGTTCACTGGTAATAATGATGATCTAACAAACCAGGGTAACGTGTTTCCGGCTCTCCCCTTGCCGCTTTTTTAATTTGAATCCTCATTTCGTCGCGAGTGAAAGGTGTGACGTTCACATGTGTCGTTTGCCAACGATGTCGTCAACTGACTCCATAGCTCAGTGGTTAGAGTGCTGGACTAGGAAAACAGGGGTCGTGAGTTTAATCCTCACTGGAGTCTTGCTTTTGCATCATGGTGATTACTGTGAAGTTTTACACTGTTAGCGTATATTGAGGCAATAATGCATACCACCAAAGATATGGTAGCACTATCGTTCGGAATTGGGATAAAGCTACTCCAACTTACACTTTTGAACGCTACGTGACTTTTGGATTTGTATAGGTGTTTAAGTGTTTATATGTGATAAATATTTAAATCAGAAGTTTACTTCCCGAGTTAAGCCCATTGAGCTAAGAGGTTATTTTTCAAGGGAGACTGGGCCGGCAGACAACATGAAATTGCGAGTTAACAATGAGCTTGTCGCATAGCTCACTGATCTTGTAAATTAGGATGGCGATTTAAATTCTTGAAGTAACCTTTGTTATTATATTGTACATCCTGTTCGGATTATGTTGACAAAACAAGAGCCATTTAAGATGTTAGCGATGCGGTTTGTGAACACCAGTTTGCATGGTCACTATAATCTTTTTTAACTTCATCTGACTTGCTGATGTCTGTGTCTTTTAAGACAAGCTTCGTCGGTAATCAGTTATTAATAGGGTCTGTCTTGTGCTTACGTTTTTCTGGCAAACCTTCAAATAGCGACATTTTATTTGGGGCTCATGGTTGGCTCCGTATCTTGTTGGTTAAGCTACTGGTCGACTAAACCCGCTGAACTCAAATCTCTCCCAGGGCCTTTGTTTTTAATCTGGCGCGGTGATGCTGAATTGATAAAAGGAGAGCAGCTCATTACAAACACCAGGGGGCATGATAACACTGACATTTGATATGAACACGTGAATTTTAGGGGGAATTAAACATACTTTGGTTCTGCCTTTGTTTTAAAATTGTGATGATGTGGTGTCGGTGTGTAAGTGTGGTTCTTTCTTGAAACTTTCTCAAAGACTTCATTTTCGAATGTGTTGTGCACTTTCCAACGTGGCATTTTTTAACCAGACATTTATATGGCAACATAAAATATAAGGCCATGGGCAGAATCCTTAACTGAATTACCATAACATTCATTGATCTAATTAACTCGGCAACGTGTGCTGATGCTTGAGCCTTCTTTCATCCTGTTTCATTTTACACCATGATTTGCCTGATGGGTGACAGGCTTAAAATTCACGTGTGTCTTTTGGTGACAGGTGCTTCAACTGGCTCCATAGCTCAGTGGTTAGAGCACTGGTCTAGTAAACCAGGGGTCGTGAGTTCAATTCTCACTGGAGCCTTTATTTTATACATCATTAAACTGCAGTATTATAATTATTTTGTTGAATGTGACAGTTCCAGTCTGTGAGCACCTACTGACACTTATTCATAACTGCAGGTGTTATGAAGCATATGATGATACTCATCTGGCAATATATTTTAATAAAACCACTAAAATTTACATCGTGAACGCTTTTAAACATAAAACGGTGTCAGTCATGGAGATCCGAAATCAAGACTCTGCACCATAGAGCCCAATGCATATCCGACCAGGAACACATAGCCAGTGAACTCAAGCACGTACACCAAGCTCTTAAGGCTAATGGTTACTCCGACTACACAATCCGCAAAGCTATCACTCCAACCATGAAGAAGGACCCTCTTGAGGAGCCTTTCAAAACCATCACTTTACCTTACATTGCGGGGATCACAAAAAAAATCTCCAAAATCTTGAATAAACATGAGATCCAGGTTCGATTCAACACATTACATAAAATCCGTGATCTGGTTCCGTCTGTAAAAGATGTGATTCCGGACATACAGTACCCTGGCGTCTACAAACTAAGTTGCCTCTGTGGTAGTAGTTACATTGGAGAAACCAAACGACATGTCTCGGACCGCATTCGTGAACACAAAGCAGACCTAAAACACGGTAGGACCTACACCTCGGCCGTGGCAGATCACTGTTATAATGCAGTAGGCTCACATGACATTGACTTCTCCAAGACAGAGGTTATTTGCAAGCCATCTGGCTACCATGATGGATTCGTTCATGAGGCTATCCACATATACAAACACAGAGACAATTTCAACCGAGAAGATGGATTCTGGCTTAGCAATCATTGGAAGGATTTGATAAACCATTTCGGGTCTTAATTGATTCTTCACGCTTACGGTGGCTTTCAGGACCGCATCCATTATTTTCGTCTCCCCCCTCTTTTCCGAACATAGATGGACTCGTCCATCTGAACAAACTATCAAATCGCTCTCCGTGGTGCTAACATTAAAAAACCCGCCACTTTTTTCAAAATTTTCTTGCTGTGGTTTTCACACCTGATGATGATTGCTTGTGTTGCAGTCGAAACGTCGTGAGAATTTTATTGTTTATATTTTTATTATTTTATTGTTTCCCTTCTGAAAGAACCAAGAATATGAATCCCTGCAGTCACGAAAGCTTTAAATAAAAATTCAGCGATTGAGAGTTCCATTCGTACTGACCACCAGGAAACATAGGATCCAAATGAGTCTCCGGCTCTTTCAGTCAGTGACAGCGTTCGGTGTAAATATCATGCACGATAACTAAGGCAATATTTCTTGGATGAAGCCAGTCAAATGTACTCTTTAGAACGTTGCCTTACTTTCTGTTCGATGTGGTGTTTGTGTTTGTTACAAGCTTCCCCAGTCATCAGTTATAAAAGCCAATATTTTGCTCAGATGGTTTTTGTTAACTACCTCGCCTGGTATACAGGAGTTGGTGGGTTCGATTCCGACCCTGACGCCTGTACGTTTGGAGTTTGCGTGTCTCTCTCCGGGTGGTCGTGTGGAATTTTTTTCCGGGTTCTCCGGGTTTGCCATCCACATTTAAAAATCAACGTCCGTTTAGAGTATTTGGCTGCTATACATTTCCACGTGATGATAAGCCTCTTCGTCGAGCTTTCATTTGTGATAGCCAGGTCACTTCTGAAAAAGAGCTATATAGCTCAGTGGAACCTTACCTGGTAAAATAGTAACAAAAAAAATCACATCCTGGTGCGTTGAGGTTGACGAATGTGAGCTCCCACGTGTTTTAGGATGTTCGCCACGCGGTTGTGTCGTGAGCGCCCGTGGCACATTGAGAACTGCAGGGGGCGCAATAACTTTTGTTACACTTTTGGAACTTCGGCTTTGCGTTGTTTGTAATTAATATAAGCTTTTCAAGGTCATGGGTCACGAAGGAGCACCTGTCTTAACATAACAGACTTTGTGCATACGCCTGCACTCAACTTTAAATAGTGATATTTCACCCGCAAACTTCGTCTGGCTCCATAGCTCAGTGGTTAGAGCACTGGTCTCGTAAACCAGGGGTCGAGAGTTCAATTCCCTCTGGGGCCTTAATTTTTATATTAACAAAAGGCGATCGTTCTTTTTTAGACGTTATCCATGTATTGTTTGTGAACACCGAGAGCTAATTCAGAACAACAGGGACTGTCAAGTACTTATCCTTTAGAGTGAATATATGACGTTTTGGGGAGAAAAACATTACGTTAAAATTACTCCATTGAATGACTCAAAGCTTTGCCATTTGTGATATTCTGCTCTGTTGTGTGCGTCTTTTCCGGAAACGTTCTCCAATATTTCATTTTAAAAAGGGGGCTTAATGTGAGTGCTGGACTTTTGATTAATAATTGGGTTTATTATTAATATTTTACCACGTTGCATTTTACTTGCCATACTTTTAAATGGGAACATCACAAATAAATGAATGGACTCGCTTCCATATTCTGAACGCTTCGAAAACAGGACTGAATAATTTTCCAGGTAGCGTATCCTGAAACCTTTTCTTGATCCTTAAGTGCCAATCTTTTGATTTAAAGCTTTCGTGACTGCAGGGAATAATATTCTTAGTTCTTTCGGTAAAATCACGTAGAAGGGAAACAATAAAATAAAAAATATATAAAACAATCAAATTCTCACGACGTGTCGACTGCAACACAAGCAATCATCATCAGGTGTGAAAACCAATCTTTGTCAATGGTCAAGATGTGGAATCCTAGTATGCCTATTGAGAACAGATCCCTCAGCTGGCTCCATAGCTCAGTGGTTAGAGCACTGGTCTAGTAAACCAGGGGTCGTGAGTTCAATTCTCACTGGAGCCTACAAATATTTTTGTCTTATTTATCGCTATAGACATTTCCTAACAACTCTGAAACCACCAAATGTCCGCCCATGAGCACCAAAACTATAAATACGGTTATCTTAACTTATAATGCTTTAATTGCCGAGGAGAGCAAGATTTTTAGAAGGGGTTGTTTTGTATATGTACGTGTTGCCATGCAGCTCAGTATGGTCCTGGAACAGGTTTAGCAGGCCTCCTGCTGGTGTGGCGCTTGGCTCAGGCAATGATAATGATCTTAGAATAAGAGGAAGTGCAGGGAGGCGGTTCATGTATTTGTAGATTTTTTTGCATTTGGCGCAGAACATCACAGTTTATCATAAATACGAGTGTACTGTACGTTACTTTCCCAATATTACCTCTCCACTGAGTCTCAACACTTTGCATGCGAGTCCTGAGGACGTTTCCAATGATGAGTGTTTTTTTTCGCAACGTGAGGAAAAACCAGAGTAGCCACGCGAATAAGGGGTGACACTCAACACTGCCTTCTGCTGGCCGCTTGCAGCCTCGTGCCTGTAAACACGTGGAACACCCTGGTGGCCTGTAAACACGTGGAACACGCTGGTGTCCTGTAAACACGTGGAACACGCTAGTGTCCTGTAAACACGTGGAACACCCTGGTGGTCTGTAAACACGTGGAACACCCTGGTTGCCTGTAAACACGTGGAACACCCTGGTGGCCTGTAAACACGTGGAACATCCTGGTGGTCTGTAAACACGTGGAACACCCTGGTGGCCTGTAAACACGTGGAACACCCTGGTGGCCTGTAAACACGTGGAACACCCTGGTGGCCTGTAAACACGTGGAACATCCTGGTGGCCTGTAAACACGTGGAACATCCTGGTTGCCTGTAAACACGTGGGACACCCTGGTGGCCTGTAAACACGTGGAACACCCTGGTGGCCTGTAAACACGTGGAACACCCTGGTGTCCTGT